TCCCCCTCTTCCCCAGGAACAAATGATGTGTGTTGCCATACAATTTTGTGATTGGTTGACATGGTGCATTTTTCAACCAATAGGAAAGGGGGTGTCGTTTTTTTTTTTGTTTTTTTTGCTGTTGCCTTCAGCACTTTCGTCGGGCCACACAAAATGAAACGGAGACTCAGCGAGGCTGCGTGTTGCTGCTAAATCGGTCACCGCCGGCGCAGTTCTGGACCGCAGAGGGTTAAAGGGTTTTTTTTGGGGAGCTTTTCCTTATCCGCTGCGAGGGTCATAAGGACAGAGGGATGTCGTATGCTGTAAAGCCCTGTGAGGCAAATTGTGATTTGTGATATTGGGCTTTATAAATAAAATTGATTGATTGATTGACTTGGATCTGCTGAGTTTGTCTTGGTACAAAGTCACAGAGAATGTTTCTGTTAACAGCATTAAATACATAGGCTATATATAATCCATAACATCATAAATCAAACTATGATGAAGTGATGCAAAAACTCTGTGAGCATCTGAAGACAATGAAAAACATGCTGAGACACGGAGGGAGTCGTGTTGTTCTTTTTGCTACAGCAATAAAAACATGAAAAACATTTTTGGGATAAAAGAGGCACCAGAACAGACAGTGGTGGAGCCTGGGGGGCCTCTAGATAAATAGTCCCCCTCCTAAGTGAAGAGGATATTGGAATTCAAGGTTGTTATGATTTTACCATCGTAGAAATACTGATCAGAACACATTTTGTCTCAAAGCAGAAAAGTTCTGACCTGTATGTGTTTTTTGTTCTCATACTTCTTCTTTCACCTTTATTATGCAAACTACTGGTGTATATCATATTATCTTGGATTGAAAATCATTGAGTGTTGTAACTATTTCCTTTTTTGTCAATCTGTACATTACTTTTTCAATTCATCAATTAATGTTTAAGAGATCATTTAAAATGTGAAATGTCTGAAAATAGCAATGCCCTTCAGACTTGCTTCTTTTGGGGGCGTCGGTGGCTTAGTGGTAGAGCAGGCGCCCCATGTACAAGGCTGTTGCTGCAGTGGCCCGGTGGTTCAAGTCCAGCCTGTGGCCCTTTGCTGCATGTCATCCCCTCTCTCTCTCCCTCTTTCACACTTAACTGTCCTGTCCATTAAAGGCTAAAAATGCCCCAAAAGAAAATGTTAAAAAAGAAAAGACTTGCTTCTTTTGTCTTTTCATCACTTCAAGTAGAAATAAAACAATTGGTCAATTAATGGATTAGTCAGAAGGTAGAAAATTATCTGTAACTGATAATGACGTCATAGTTTGAGTCATTTTTAAACCAAAATACTGAACATTTGCTTGTTTTAGCTTCTGTGAGAATCTGATGTTTTTCTTCATTGTATGTGATGTGAACTGAATCTATTTGTGGTTTTGGACAGCAGGTCTAAAATGATTTTTTTTCCTTTTTTAACTTTATTTACAAAACAATTTTTAACTTATAATGAAAATTATCGTTAGCTGTAGTTCAAACCAAAAGACACTTGATTTACAGAGATACCAAAGGAAAAATGTTTGAGAAGCTCAAATCTATAAATGTTTGACATGAATTTTTCAATAATTTATCTGTTAATTATTTCCCATTGGACTTAAAGGTCAAAGGTTTGTAAACATTAGCATGGAAGTGAGAATGTCCTTGAACAGTCAAATCATTGAAGAGCAATCACAAGTCTAAAATTCAGGGTTTTCAAAACTTTCAAATAACTTTTCTTGAATATTTCACTTCATTTCCATGACTTTATTAAAGTAGTTTAAAATGAGTCGGCCAATGTGGTGATGCAGCCAAACACTGTTAAACACACACTTCACACACATTAACCCAAGATAAGCAAAACTGCTGGTGCTAGCTTATGTTATCTACTACTTAGACATTCCCAACTAGCTGCATGTGCATCTGCAACAGACTAGTACGGCACATGTGGGTATTTCAGCAAGACTTCAAGGCCACGCCCCTTTTTGGGTAATAGAAAGACTAAGTCCTGTCGACGGATTATAATTTTGAAATGTTTATATCTATTTATTTCTTAGAAAAGTTTGTTTCATACATGTTTGATGACTGTTTTGCAATTTTGCTTGAACCAAATGATTAAATCAGATATGAATATTTGATTGAATCATTAACTATCGTTAGACCAGGAGTTTTTTTTATGAATAACCAATGTATTACAAAAGTGACTGACAGGCTGACGTGTTGTTGGAGACGACAGTCTGATGCTGCAGCAGCCTTCTGCTGAAGCTACCGTTAGCAGTCCATCAGTATGAACTGTCACCAGGATCAGTTAGTGATTTACCACGCTGAATATTCACGAATCAAATGTTCCTTAAAACCCTGGTTAACTAGCTGCACAACAGCTTTTCTGCATTTTCTTGTTTCTCTCCTGATGTAACAGTGCGTTTAGCACCCAAAAAAGGAAGCGTGGCCTTGACAATGACACAATGCAGAGCAGGTCTTTGTGTATCATGTGACAGTGGTGACATTTTACCGGTCACACAGCGCAGCACCAGATCTTAAATTAATGACTCAACGAATATATCTTCCAACTCTAAGATTTTTATAAACAGATTTTAAACAGCCAAAACAACATATATTAAAATCCTTTTTACAACATTCTGCTAATTCCTGTTGTTCTAATTTCATAACCTTTCCAGGAATTTCCTGACCACTTTCCTGACGAGGTGTTATTTCAATGGTCTTCAGAGAGATGGTGTTACACATTGTACTGATGTCAGGAATAAAATAAGATTCTTTGATATCAGAGAGGAAGGTCAATTAACAGAATGGAGTCTGCATGAATCACAAGCTTATCACCTGCAGCTCGCCGACCGTCAAAGCATTGAGGCTGACATTAATACATTTTGGGAATATACAGATTATTTCCATCCAAACACAACATTACATCTGACACACCAACAACAGCTAACAGCTAATTAAAAATACTTAAGACTTTCAGGCTAAACAAGACAAAATATGGATTAACGAAAGGTTTCATTTCAAAACATAGTAATTAGCAGTTTCATGTATTTTTTAATTACTCCATTCTGGATAATGTTTTAGAGTGCCAGTAAAACACACAAACACAATCTGAGTCACACATTACTGCAAACCATGACAGCACATCAGGACCGAGTCAGATGAATTTTAATCAACATCCAACACAACAAGATATTTTGCAATAAGCCTGAATTCCAACAGCAGTCACTCAAAATATAAAACAACCTTCATCTAAACAAAAAAGAAACAACTGATTGTACTGAAGCAATTGCAATTACCAGCATCATAAATGACCTTTGCCCTCTGTTACCTGCAGTGGCACTTAAATCTCTGTCAGCACAATAGCTCAGCACAAGTCATAAAACACTGAATACCACTGAGGGCATTTAGCAGAGGCTTTAGAAGAAGTCCCGTCTCTATATGAATATTCAACAACCGGAGAAATCAATTATCCACCAAGGAGTCCAACAAACAACCCACACACAGAAAAAATACATGAATGTCAAGAAGAAACATCGGGGCATAAAGTCCACATTCATCCTGAAAAATATTATATTTTCTGTTTCTGTGTTTCCTCTATGCTGTGAGACATTTCACTCATCGATATATAAAATTATTCAGCATAGTAAATAATAGCCAAATATTGTATTATATCATATCAGACTGTGCTCTATCAGCAAAATATGTCCTCTCATTTCTGGGGGCTTTTTTAATCAGTAATACGAGGATTCAGATTCTAGTTTAAAGACAAATCCACCTAAAAACATTAATACTGCTGACAGAAATGGGACTAATGACGCCTTTTCCACAGTCATGGGCTCGGCTCGGCTCGGCTACTCCAGAGAAGGTCCATCTCTGGGGCAGCTTGGTGTGGCACAGCGCATTTAAACTGATAATGGAAACGCTAACTGGCGTGGCATGGTTTGACTCCACATGGCAAAAAGTGACGGTAGAAAAGGCCCAAAAGTCAGAAGTAAGTTTCAGCTGTAAGTTCAGAATCAAGTCCCGAGTCCTGAAATGTGTTCTCAAGTGCGAAATTATTTGTCCAATGCTCTTCACTGCCAAACACACCCTTAACCCTTAACCCTAACACTCCTGAGTCCACACTGAAGTTTTATTCTTGGAATTATTGCAGACGACTGGCCAAACAATGAAAAAGCATGACACTGTTTTGACTCCTGTCCTGCTGCAGTGACAGTGGACTTTGATTCATCATTTTCTTCACGGATATAAAACATCAAGGTCAAAGAAAGAGGCCAAAGCAGCGACAATATGTTCAACCTTTCACTGATCTGATTTCAAAGATTGAGCATCTGATGTCGGCTGTGTGAAACGGGTTCATCTTGTTGTGTTAAACAACAGCAAATGGACTGATTTTAGATTTTCACCACACATCCATCATAATAAGCATTCTTCACTGGATTAGTTAACTTAACTTGAAATTCAGCTTTTTACCTGTAACATAATATTTCAACAATGGTCGTCCTGTTGTTTAACTGCAAGATCTAAGTATTTCTTCTAGGTCAGTATCAGAAACTACAGAGACTAAACTGTCAGAGAGCTGACGGAGAAACACCACACAGTGAGGTCATCAGAGGGTCGGCAGGTAAGTCTCAGTCATACCTTTAAATCCACTCTGATAATCAGGCAGCAGCCATGTTGGATAAGCTGCACGGGATTGTCACGTAAAACGCAGGTGACTGGCAGCAGCAGCAACAGAGCAGACAACAACAGTATTCAGTACTCACTGTATAAAGTAACTGTGCTCACTTTATGAGGTAACTGTACTCACTGTATAAGTAACTGTCCTCACTTTATGAAGTAACTGTACTGTGTAAGTAACTGTACTCACTTAATGAAGTAACTGTACTCACTTAATGGAGTAACTGTACTCACTGTATGAAGTAACAGTACTCGCTTTATGAAGTAACTGTACTCCCTGTATAAAGTAGCCTAACAGTACTCACTTTATGAAGTAACAGTACTCACTTTATGAAGTAACTGGCTCCTTCGTCCGTGAAGCCCTCCTCCCATCCTCGGGGTAAGTCTGAAATGAAACCAAACGTCAGCTCAAAGTTTTCTGTGTCCTCGGGCCTGACCCTCCACCACCCTCCACCCTAAAGTTACACCGTGATGACGACTTCAGGTAAACACGGCTCAGACAAGTACCTGAGCGGATCATGTGTCCGGAGTTTACCGGTTCACCGGAGCGGGGATGGAGCCAGGTGGTGTTCCGGGACTCATCGCTGCCGCACCGACACACAGAGGGACAGAGACAGGAGACAAAAACACCTGTTACACCACCGGGAAGGAAACACCGCCAGAGGTGAGCCCGTTAAAGCGGGACGCACGGAGCGATAAAGCGAATCTGATCAGACTCACCTGATGAAGAAAACCCTGCCGTCTGTACACACACCGTAAGACCAGTGTTCAGGTAACGTGTCCCGCTCGAGCGGCGCCGCCATGATCCGCTCTCAAATCCTATTCCCTCTCCATGGAGTCTCCCGGGAGCTCAACGATCACCGCCTGCTGCCTTCAGGGATCTCTGTGAGAATCGGACATTTCAGTTCCTTTCTTCTACAGCCGGCGCTGCCTTCAGGGACCTCTCTGAGACTCGGACATCACGGCTCCTTTCTTTTATAGCTGGCGATGCCTTCTGCCTGCAGGGCGAAAAACCCATTTAAGGGGAAGGTGTAGCCTCAGAGAACCTCCACAGTTCAGTCAGCTGATTTATTTATTTATACATTTTTTCTATTGAATTTTAATTTCTCAACAAATATATCCAAAGTTTTCATTTCCTGATTTTGAAGTTAGTTTTATTAATGCTTTTATGTTATTTTATCTTATATTATATCTTTCTATATTTTCACCACACATCTTATTATAAGCAGGGCCGTAGATTCACTCACAGATGCCTCAGAAACAGTTTTGAGGGGGCGTTGGTGGCTTGGTGGATGGAGGGGGCGCCCCATGTACAGGGCTGTTGCCGCAGCAGCCCGGGTCGACTCCAGCCTGTGGCCCTTCGCTGCATGTCATTCCCTCTCTCCCCTTCGCTCTGGGCCTTGATATCAATTAAAGACAAAAATGCCCCTAAAAAATATCTTTAAAAAAGAAAAAAGAAACATTTGTGAGAGCGCTCCCGGAATGCTCCTCACTTAGCTCAAAGACTTTCAGTAAGGAGTCTTAGGAGTGATTAAGTAAAGTTCTCAGAGGGACAGAAACTGTGACCTCAGTGAGGAGGTGTGGTCGACCGTGTTGTAAGCTGTGATGTGATTGGTTGTCAGAGACACGCCTTCTGTGAGGCTATAAGGTGTGAGGACACCCAGTGGACATGAGATGAACTGCGGACTGAGACAGACTCAGCTCATCACTGCTGGGTTTTTACTGTTTATCTCAGTGATGTCATCATTTTGTTTCTGGTGTTACAGTATTGGGTGTGACATGTGTGTATCCCTGATGACATCATCCACACATATTCTTCCTTCACCATCTAATCTGTATCATTTAATTTCTTCTCTGTTGTCCAGTGCTTGCGGAATATTTGTCTGACCTGTTTGTGTTTCCACCATTTTCTCCTCTGATTCAGAAACTGTTAAACTCCTCCTCCTGCTGCGACTGGTTTCATCTGAGCACCTGTTTTAAGGTCTGAGATGCTCTGTGAATAACTTTTATTTTTACCAGGACAGAGTCTTAACTTTACGGGGAAATTCTCAGAAATCATCAGTCTTGTAAGAATTTTCTTAGAATTTCGTAATGAGGAAAAACTCTTCATACAAGGAATCTTTGTGAATACGGCCCCTGAACATTTAGACAGTTACAATGACTGAAGGAGACGATGACCTTTAACTATACATATTTCACATGCAGGTACTGAAACCTGAATCATTGTTTTAAACTGTGTCTGTGTGGTTTTAGGTAAAATCTAGATTAAAGTAATTTCCTACCAGCTGGTAACAGACTATAATTCAACAAGATAAAATATACATAAGATATAATAATACAGTTAAATTACATTTGTTTCTTTAAACACTTGTTGTTGATAATTTTTTTTTTACTTGTGGTCTTGGTCCGTCTGGTCCTGCCCTGATGATGTGAGGAAGGTGTGAAGAAGAGAGTCTGTAACATGTTTAACATGTAGTTTAAGATGTTTGTTGGATGTCCTCTTCCTCATGTCTCCTCTCCTGTGTGTCCTTCACTGACCACCATCTATACAAAAAAAACTTCAAATGAAAAACTGGAAAATGATTCTGTTTTCTGATTATGTGTATGAACACGCAGCGTTTTAAAACAGGTGAGACCTTCTGTGCACGTGGAGCAGTGACATATTCATTTGAACATGTTTGACACCAAATCTTCACAAAGTGTTTTTCGTTCACTTAACTGCCAAAATGAGTTTGTTGTGTCATCACCTGATTAAAAGCAAAGTTGGCTCATTTCTTTTACAGACCTTGTCACACCTGTCTTACCTGATATAGAGGCCTGTAATTATTCTGTATTTAAATGTTGGTGATTTTGAATTTGGTTTCTCTTCTACTTTTCCAGCTGGATGTCAAAACTAAATGTAATTTGTTTGATTTAATGTTTACACACTGGAGTAATATTAAAATTTACTACATTATTATCATCAGTGGAGACACCCACCTGTCATGTGTCATATTTTAGGGGTTATTGGTGTGAGTAATTCATGACATTTATGTCAGCACCTGAAGCAGGGCTGTTTCAAGACACTCTGGGGGCCCAAGGCAAGAGGCACTTTGGAGCCCCCCCTCACCCCCACCCCACCTCTAGGGTGACCAGGTCCCAATAAACCAAATGTGGGACACGGAATAGGTTTGTGAGGGACAATGTGGGACACCTGCCCCCAGTGCGAAGTTTAGTCATCAGAGACTTGTCATGGTACCAAAACTGGGACCCATGGTACGATACCAGTGAAAATGAGGCAGATGTGCCTTTTGTCATTTATAAAAAGATAAATCACGATAAACGGCGTCTGTGACCCCCGTTCAACCCACAACTGGCAGGATTCGCCTTAAGTTTCTTCTGCTGGTCGAAATCTGTACTCGCACAGCATGCTCCTGAATGATTTGTTTTGCTTGTGCAAAACTATTTTTAGTTGCAAATGCGAGTAAAATGCTCGCACTGTAGAGCTCTGTGGAAAACAAATCACTGTAGCATATATAAACAAATCTAGCCTACAAGTAAAAAGAAATAAATAATTTTAACTGCTTAAAGATACTCAATAGCTCAGCTAATACCTGAAATATCACTGGATACAAACCACTACAGCAGCATACTGAGTTCCAGGTGGCCAGCCCGCGCTGTTAGGGCAAATTGTGATTTGTGATATTGGGCTTTATAAATAAAATTGATTGATTGATTGATTGATTGAGATGATTCACTGTGTACCTGTCTGTTGATGAACGTGTGATTTTTACACATTCTGTTGATGTACTGTAAACTGACTGTGGACATTTCCTGAAACAGTTAATCAGAAGTTTACTGAACTCCATCTCTGCAGCTTCACTTTTTTTTAAATTTTATTTATTTAATTATTTGAAGGATAGTCCCTTAAGATGAATCATCTTGTTTTCAAGGGAGTCCTTAATGTGTTTACAGACAAAACAAGAGAAAACATTACAACAGCATTACATTACATTACAAGACATACAAGAATCAAACAGAACATTACATACATATAATAAACGGTCGTGTCGACCTGCTGTTGTGTCAGTGAAGCTCTAATGTTTACATGCAGCAAACATGCAGGTCGTTAAGGTCAATACGAGCCTCCATCAGCCATCAGACACACTGTGTTCTGACTCATCCGTCAGGAAGTCTGAGCTCATTGGTATTTCGTTTCCCAAAGTGACTTCACATCCAGGAGTTATGTGGTGGCGTGCTCATGACAACGTCCTGACACGTCTTCCATTCACACCTGTTATTTTAAAATCCACAGTAGGAACAAAAACACTTGACCTGAGTTGTTGTTAAATTCCAGTCAGCAGGAGTTTCCTCTACAAAAACAGTAATTTCTAAAAGGGTGGAATCCAGTGTGAAGAAGATAGTCATCACCCCTCATCAACCACTCTCACCACACTAACCCTGAAACATGGGATTTTGATACACAGATAAACATGTACAAAACATGCTGAACTTCACATAGCTTTTTTGTGTGATGTCTTTTTTTTATAACTAATCAGCCCTTTTCCAGTCGGACAGACAGATTTCTTGACAACCTTCTCATCACACTCAATTTGGCCATTTATCCAAGATGTTATAAAAAGTGAGCATCATGCTTCACATCTGGGGACTTTTGTGTGAATGGATTTGATTTTGTAGCACTTTTTTTTGGTTTCAGTTTGGAGGCACCTCAATATCAACTACAGAAAGTCCTGACACGGTAGAACGAGCTGAAGGGCGGGCAGAGGTCGGCACACAGCCTCGCCACTGAAAGCTCAGGGGATTTTTCTACCATCTGAAGTGTATCAGTGTTGAAAGATAAAGTGCTCCCACAGTAGAAAGAACAATGAAGACTTTTCCAGCCAAGTTATGATATCACCAGCTAACAGATCTTTAAATCAAAGCTAGTGGTGCTGTTATGTGTGTGTGTGTGTGTGTGTGTGTGAGTGAGTGAGAGAGAGTGAGAGTGTGAGGGAGTGATGAGGTTCCTGTTGTCCTGATGCTGAACTTAGACACAGGCTGTAAATGTGAAAACACAATTAAACATGAACAACAAAAAAAATGTACACACACTAAGTCAAAGTCACTTTTCCCTGATTTGGTTGAACTGGTCCCCTTTTCTGACAATGCATGTATAACCTCATCACTTTAACGCACAATCATGTTAAATACTTTTTTATTTCAGGACAAACTGGGCTAGCACAATATGTATGCTAGAGGCTGACATTTTTCCGGGAGTCCCACGGGTCATGTGATTGCCGTGGGACTCCCACAGGATGGGAATCAGTTTCATTATTTGTCACGTGATTGGGACGGGATGGGAAAAAATGTCAGCGAGACTGGGAATCATAATTAGGCCTGTCGTATATGTGATAAGTCATTTAATTGCAGAGTAAATTAAAAGGGATTAATTGCCGTATTCAGGTGTGTTTGTTTTTTTTGTCTCTCTCCACCAAAGAGACTGGATGACAAGAGCATTCACTGTCGTGCATCATCTGGCAGCCAGGTGAGTTGGTTCATTAGTGTAATGAACGGAGGGAAAGTTCTTGTCATCGAGTGTCTTTGTCTCTGTGGGGGAGACGGGGCTATGGGCTGGCCACACACACACACACACACACACACACACACACATACAGTGCGATCTTCATGAGGTGGAGGCGGGGCTATGGGCTACAGGTACACAGGTACACACACACACACACACACACACACTATGCGATATTTGTGAGGGGGAGACGAGGCGGAGAAAAAACAGAGTTGAACGTAAGAGAAAGACAGGGAACCATGACTCCTGTGTTTGAGTGTTTTGGATTGAAAGCAAATGACAGAGGGGAGCCCAGTAATTTGGATGAGATGGTGTGCTGGGTTT